CTAGCATTTTGTACTGCAGCCAAAGAAATTAAACCACATATATATACAAACTAATTTTAAATTATGTTGACGTGATAAAACTATAGAAAATGGAGTTCGAGAATGTTCCTGAGTTCGAAAAATGGTTTCTGTTCTCAACTCTCAACTGTTCACTGATTTGTGGTAGCAGTAAGGTGCGAATGTGAAACGTTAGTAAACTTGAGAACACAAATATGATTATGTCGACCATCGAACATGGAACTTGAACAATACAGGCTAGGTCTTTATTTACTATATAGTAGATGATTGTGTAGATTCCTTCAAAATAATAGCTATAATATCGAAAACACTTGTGAAATAGATTGCGCTCAAAACTAGTCTTGTTTAAATTTCGCTGATTTTATGATGGAAGCCATCTTGAATGCCACCACCCTTCTCATTTCTTATTCATCTCGCCTCCTCTAGTGGTCAATACAGAATACTATTATAGTAATATCATAAGGGTTGGTAAACGACGCCGACATTTGGGCAAACGACATGTCATAAATGTTGTGTAGACACGTTGTAGGACAGATCGGTAGCGATAGGTATCGTTGGGTCCACTGGAGGGTGCACCGGTGTACGTCAAATATAGCTAAGCGACATATCACAGTCACACATTTTCGCCGCGACATATTTTCATGAGTGCAAGTCGTTCTCGCATTTATATACACCAAGTTATCAACCTAGCAACCGAGATATGAGTAACAGTTACATTACATAACCAGTTCCTCGTTCCCTGTTCCCTGGAGGCCGGCGGGAATCTCAGTATATCTCATGTTTTAAGCTGTTTGTTTAATAACCAATCAGATGAGCCTGATCTCTTGTTTTAAGCTGTTGAATAACCAATCAGATGAGACTGTTTTTTAATTTTAAAGTATGTTTGTTTGGAAAAATCGTTCACTAAAAAATAAAAATAGATCATATAAATATCACACGGACTACGGTGATATTTTAAAACAAAAAAATAAATGAGCTTCACATGCTGTGACGATCAATCAGTTGTAAATAGCTGGTGAAAGATAAATAGATTAATATTTAGCCTGATATCTGAATTACAGTGATTAATATGCAGGACAATGGCTCTACATACGATAGAATTTATGCACGCAACATCAAGCTAAAGATATGTCTGTGTTTTAGTAAATGTGGACTGATTTCTCGGATGTTGATTTTTAGCAGGATGTATTTTAACTGATTGTGCAGAGTTATTCTACGATAGTGCAGTCGCCACTTCATATGCTTTGTAGTACATCGACTGACCTCAATCGAATAAACCTATAGCTACTGCCTTCCAAAAATCATTCGAGTATTAGGTCGTCGATTAAAACGTCACGATCTTACTGAAACAGATAATTGTTGAGAGTGCAACATAAGAGCTCGATGTACATTACACAGGTTCATTAGAGTCCCTCGCCTTCCAATACGAGATTCATGTACAATTGTGGATGCGAGTCCAACGACAAAGCGCGACGCCCACGAGGTTCTCTGCTCAGAGTTTTTACCTCTTCAGATATACATATCCGACTCTAAAGATCATGTTTATTCTATGATTAGAAATGGACTAAAAGTTATACAAATAGACTATTTGACGGGGATCTACGCATAAGGCGACATTTCACGGATAATTTTAAGACCGTCAATACTCATAAACAGTCGTTTGAGGGCACCATTCACAACGAAAAGGCGCAATGTTCTCGTTTGAGGCTTCAAGCATAAAACTGGGGCGCACAAATAATTTGAATCAGGACCTTAAGTTTAACGGAAGCCATACCATGAAGTGTACTGGTACATAAAAATCAATAGCCCTCTTTGAAGTGGATGGCGACTTATATAGTGTAAGAAATTAAAAAGAGTTCGCGCCGCAAAACAGCTTAAATTGTACTTTGTGAGACATATCACATTTATAAACTAATGATATGCAAATTATCCGTAATGCAATGTCTCGGATTGTTTATGTGTCCAGAAAATTGGCAGCCATTAGCAAATCCAGTGCAGCGGCCGGTTCGATTGGGAAGTCTGGAATTTCTTGAGTCGCGGCTGTGTATTTAATTTTGTAGTGGAAGTATTTACAGACCTGCAGAAATACATAAATTATCAGTAAGTGTTGGGCGAAGCAGAGAAGTGAACATGACGCCAGTGCTTACTACAACAAGGAAAACCAAAATAAAAAGAAAGGATGTATACAGGACATAGGAACAAAATCGGGATGTAATCGCCTATGACTGAGAAACCTAATTGTATTAAACAACTATACACTGCTTCGGCATAAAGACAATCACTACAGTGTCATCGCAACAATTAGCTTGCCCAACGTACTAGGGGTATGACTTTGCGCTAGTTGTTCGGTTAAGTCAAAACAACATACACAAGCCCAATACGTAATCTCTGTCAGTGCAATATAGCTGCGAATTTAAAATGCACAGTCGCCAGCTTGATATTGGACAATACTAGAAACCATACCAAAGAGTCCGGCCAATATCTATACAGAAAGGGGTTGGCAGAGTGGTATACTTGATACCTCCAATGTATGCAAGACCTTGAATATCTCTTTAAATGGAAGTTCCTACAACAAAACGGGAGTATCTCAACGATACGCCAGAATGAATGTATGAAACACCCTCAGAAAGCAGAACTACAGCAAGCATACCTGTTCCAGTACATGTGAACTGATTTCTCGGAAGTTGATCAAATTCGTTTCATTCTCCGAGAATTGACCTGTCAACAAATATAGGTGCAGGGTTAAATCGGTACAAGACTTAATATATGTCTCGGATGATAAACATATCAATATCGGCCTAAACCTTGAGGATATCAATAACGGACTAAAATTAAGACGAAAGCACGCTTTTAGCCCAAAACAGTGGAAGCATGGGCATGAAGTATCGACAAGACACAAACAGTCTCTGAAGTGAGGCTTCTCCATTCACGAAGAAGGCGGTTACAAAGCTTGCAAAAATCATTTCGAATCATCAACTAACAGTGAGGTGTCGTGATTGTATAGTGAGAAGAATGTTCAGGCATACTGGATACTCAGTAGGGACAAGTCGCACGAGATAATCTACAGCTGTGAGATGTAGTTTGACCGTAGATATATGAGTGAACAACGAATCAGACAATTGGGCAAATCAAACATCCGATTGTGCGTATATACCAATACTA